AAACAATCTGTATTGTTAAACGCTCTTTATAAATGAAGGTGACTTGACTCTTCCACAGATACTCCACGGCATATTCCAACGTTGAGTCCGACTACACTGACAGAGAGACGGATAAAGATGGTGAGGATGACGGCAGAGACTCGGATGAGGAGGAAGAGCAGAGCTGTGCCACGGTGCTCACGCTTCAACTGGACCATTCGCAGCTTGAGGAAGAGGATGACGAAGATGCCGGGTTAATGGTGGACACTTTAACGGACTGTCCCAGCCCTGAACTCTCCCTCCTGCTCGCCCAGTGCGATCTGCTGCACGCAGGGGACTCTGGGAAAAAAGCAGAAGGCTTCAAGCTGCTGACGGAGAACAGACCACTGGTGAGTGACTGATATCTAATGAGAACCACATTAAAACACATGAGAGATGTTTCTTGAGCAGCAAATCAGCATATTAGAAAGATTTCTGAAGGATCATGTGACACTGAAGACTGGAGTAATGTTGCTTTGCATCACAGGAATAACTTATATTTTAAATAGAAAACGGTTATTTTAAATAGTAATAATGTTTCACAATATCATTGGTTTAAATGCAGCCTTGGTGAGCAGAAGAGACTTCTTTCAAAAAGAAATTTCATATCTTATAGTAAAAATTCAAAGCAAGTGGCAAGTATTTAAAAAAAAAGATTGTTTGAGGTGATAAAACAATAAAAATAAAGCTAAATCATATCAATTATACGGTAATAAAAATAGTGTTTCTCTGTGCATGTGTGTCAGTATGCTGATAACGTGGAGTTTATGTGGCGACTGGCTCGAGCCTACAGCGACATGTGTGAGACGACAGGCAACAGAGAAGAAAAGAGAAACTACGCAGAACAAGGTGACGACATATCACATGACATTTCGTCGCAGTCCTTACTAGGAAGTGGACTACACTTCTGAACATCATGCACTGCAAATGCTTAGAAAACATCCCCGCTGAGCATCCTAATTTAGGAAGCATTAAACACTCTCTAGGGACATTATGAATTGGATTGCAGCTTATAATGTACTGTAAATGCACTGATCTTTGACCTTTTGACACTTAAGGTCATTATGAAGCCGAGGCAGCGCTGATGAGGAATGGACTGAGTGCAGATTGTCACAAGTGGTATGAAAACAACACACACTTTCTTTAATGGAAGCTTGTTTCTGCCACAGAATAAAAAAATATTAAAAAATGTAATTTATAGTTTATATCTCACTATATCCCGAGTTTACATTCTCACAATTTTGACTATTTTCTCTTAGGTACAAGTTCATATCTAATAATTAAGACTTTTTTTCTCACAATTATAAGTTTATATCTCAAGTTTATAAAATAGTCTTAATTGGGAGATATAAACTCGTAATTGTGAGAAAGTCTGAATTGTGAGATATAAACTTGTAATTAAGAGAAAAAATTGTGAACTGTGAGATATAAAATCATAATCCTGAGGAAAAAAGTCTGAATTGTGAGATATAAACTCGTAATTGTGAGGAAAAAAGCCTAAATTGTGAGATATAAACTCATAACTTTGAGGAAAGTCTAAATTGTGAGATATAAACTTGTAATTGTGAGGAAAAAGTCTGAATTGTGAGATATAAACTCGTAACTTTGAGGAAAGTCTAAATTGTGAGATATAAACTCATAACTTTGAGGAAAGTCTAAATTGTGAGATATAAACTTGTAATTGTGAGGAAAAAGTCTGAATTGTGAGATATAAACTTGTAACTTTGAGGAAAAAGTCTGAATTGTGAGATATATAAACTCGTAATTCTGAGGAAAAGTCTGAATTGTGAGATATAAACTTGTAATTGTGAGGAAAAAGTCTGAATTGTGAGATATATAAACTCGTAATTCTGAGGAAAAGTCTGAATTTTGAGATATATAAATCCGTAATTGTGAGGAAAAAAGTCTGAATTGTGAGATATAAACTCGTAATTCTGAGGGAAAAAAGTCTAAATTGTGAGATATAAATTTGTAATTTTGAGAAAAAAGTCTAAATTGTGAGATATAAAATCGTAATTGTGAGAAAAAAGTCTGAATTGTGAGATATAAAAAACTCGTAATTGTGAGGAAAAGTCTGAATTGTGAGATATAAAATCGTAATTGTGAGAAAAAAAAGTCTAAATTGTGAGAAAAATACTTGGAATTGTGAGATAAAAGTTATTACCTTTTTATACATTTTTTTATTCTGTGGTAAAAAAGCTTCCATACCCATCACCTGTCGTACGAGATTATTTATAAAGTCTGTAGTTCATGATACATAATACATCGGCGTTCTCTGTCAGGTTTGCCGTCCTCGCGCGCTTGTCTTCGCAGTACGAGAGCATTCACGGGAAACTGAAAAGCGGCCACGTTCTGAAGGTGAGCCGGTGATATTCTCCTCCGAGTGTTTCCTTCATTGACTTCAGGCGTGTGTTTAATGACTGTGTTTGTTCCTGGATGTTCTGACAGGAGCATTTGGATCGAGCTTTGGCTCTGCGTGACGATGACCCGACCTGTTTCTACCTGCTCGGCCGCTGGTGTTTAGAGGTCAGTTCCTACTGAAGAAACAATGCAAACAATCTCAGCAATTATTAACATGCCCCTATAGACCTTACGCACCAGAGAAACGTGGGCGCCGTCATCTTTAGAATATTGTCTTTGAACGTCCGGTATTGCAGTCGCTCTGTATATTTCTATGGCATCGCTGTTGAGGAGTAATTAGCTGGTGAAGTGGATTTACTTATTGTAGAGTTAACAAAAGTTATCCTGAGCATTGTAAAGTAGATGTCTTAACAAATGTCGACCGGGAAATTTTTTTACGAGCAGTTCATTCATACCTACGCAAGATCGCTGTCAAATACAGACCGGAAGTCAAAAGACAACGAGCGCAGCACTGAAAAGGGGCGGGGCTACATAAGGTCTATACGCTGATTTCACGCAGCCGCCATTTTGAAATGGATCTGGTGGGAAGAAAACCTGAAGTGTCCTGAATTGATTGTAGAAACGGAGTTTTGATTGAAGAACTGATTGTAAACCGGCAGAAACGAGTCGTCAGTAATTCCAGTCTTATTTCCTGCTTGAACTTATGTAGCTTTGTAACAAATTTGCATAATGCCTGCCTTCGGTCTTTTTTGGCTCCTCAGGAACAACAATGCCCACGTTACTGATTTTACAAACCTCGTTACGAATTTAAATCTTTGATCAAAGCATTTTGACCCACTGTTAGAGAATGTTAACCCCTTTCAGACGACTGTGCCAAACCCTCACGCGATCTGTGTGTCGTAGGTGAGCTCTCTGGGTTGGCTGGAGAGGAAAGCTGCCGCCACACTTTATAAAACTCCTCCTACATCCTCACTGAATGAAGCTTTGGAGAACTTCCTCAAGGTAATGGATTGGTCGCTAGTCTTTGATCGGTATTATGAAATGACATGGATCTGAGATTTACAGCGTCATCAAACATGCTCTGATGTTTCCGATTGTCCGATCTCTAGGCGGAAGAGTTAAATCCTGGATTCTCTAAAACAGTCCGGCTCTATATCGCCAAGGTAACTGAATTGTCTACACAACACATTCTGCAAGACGTGTCGTTCTCTTAAAGGGACAGTTCATCTGAAAATGACAATTGTGTCACAGAGATACTCATGTCATTCCTGCTTAAAAGCTTTGAGAAAGAACTGGATGAACTGCTTTTAAAAACGATTTCTTATTGGAATAACATGTATATATATCCTTTTGTTTTCAGTGTCATAAGGAGCTTGGAAACGTGTCAGAGGCCAGGAATTGGGTCCAGTTATCTCTGAGCACACCAGCAGGAGCAAATGAGGTGAAGTGCATTCGTACTCTCAGGTCCTGTTTACGCCGGGTATTAAGAGCAGATCGCAAGTAGACGAGGGAGACACATGCCTGTTTACACTTGGTGTCTCTTTTGTCCACTTTCAATCACTTCTGTCCTGATTTCTTCGAGGGGAGGGGCTATAGGCTGGTGAATATATGGGCTTTTTCAGATCCATCGACCTAATCTAAAATAAGCTCACGCAATTTACACATGAACACGAAAGGTGAAAACAGAAAAACACACGAAAAGCATCAGCTTTAGTTTCTGCTCTGACATTCACTAGACCAGCCGAACGCTGTGAGTGTGTGTGAGAAATCAGGAATAGTGAAAGAATTGGTTGGTATGTTTTTCATCTTCAAACAAAACAAAGTTTAAACCCCGTCTGGCTAGTTCACTTCTTATGTTTACGCATTAGATGGTCTTAGACGGTTGTTTGAACACATTTGATCACATGAGCGTTTACACTACGAAACCAATTCGGATGTGTTTTCAATACCTCTGGAAGTGATCGAGCTCAAAACGTTTTAGAACCTGTTTACACCTGTATTTAGTGTCGTCCACTCGTGATCCGATCGACCAAAACGCATCTTAATACCAGCTGTAAACAGGGCAACAATAGTTTCTCTAGGATTGACAACATACGACATTTTTTGTCATAGTTTTAATAGTCTCTGATTGATTGTTGTTTCCTCAGGATTCTGACAGCGCCGCTCTACAGGAGGAGCTGAAGGCTTTGATTGACAGCTCTGCTGACCTATCTAAAAGCAGTATCGATCATTAGGGTGGGGTCTAATGAAAACTGTGTTCTAATTATTATTTTTTTTTTTTTTTACATTTCACCAAAAATGTGCTCTATTTTATTTATTTAATGTCTACAATGGATGTGCGTTATTAAACTGGATAATTTCCCTCCAGTAATCTGAACCCCTCCCCCCTCAATATTATATATAAAAATTATTTACTATTTTTCACAAATCTCCTTCCTACATGAAACACTTGCATTTCATTCCTTTAAAAAAAGATGAAGGTTACTCATATCATTCCTTGTTTTTTTTTATATTTAACCCGTGAAATATAAGTTATTTAATCGATTATATGTTTGATTTCATTTTGAAATGAAGTAAATTCCTGAAATATGACAATAAAATTCCACAATTGTCTCGCAGTATTTTGCTGTTTTTCTCCCTCATCTATTTTAATGGTTCAATCCTCTTTTGGCATATACATTCAAACAAACACACTTATTAGTTTAACAGATAAAACGCTTTATGAGTAGTTTTATGTACAAGAAAAAGATTCAGTCCAGACAAAACGCACAAATATAACAAAAGCTGTAAATAACGAATAAAGAGTTGACGTCACACTAATTACACCAGCTCAAATCCCTCAGATCCATCAATCTGCACCTATGTAAATAAACCATGAATTTCACTCTCACGGGTTCGTTCTTTTTCCAAAGTATAATTCCAGACTAAACACATTTCAACCATTTTAAAGGAGTCTTTTCTCCTGCTGATGGTCTCGTATCACGGCAGTGCAGGTAAGCGGGTTTATCTCTGATCTAAGCTATTGTCAGTCTTTGGCATCTCCCACTCCATCAGCATTAATGGCAAACATGGCCTCCGACTCGGGCAAACACGGCGAGTCGTAGATCTTACATATCCTCGTCTCACCTCGACCCTTCCGCAGGTATAATCTACACGACAGACGGACAGTATTAATCTATAGAGCAAGTGAGCATCAATCGACAGACACCATCATCCACTGCTAAGTTTTACCGAGTAGTCGATGCGTGTGCCAGAATGTTTCCTCCGATCGGCTTCTTGGGATCTGCAGAAAACATGGCCGCTCCATCCACCTGTGCTACCACCTGGTTAGTGATGACAACGGCCACGCCAAACTACACACAGGACAACACACACATATCCATGAGCTCACGCCATACACAGACGCTAATGAAGGACTAGCTGTGCCTCTTAAAAAAAATTAAATCATTCATTTTTAAAAAATGCAAATTGATAAAACACTGTTTAAATAAGTTTTACATGTAAGTTTGAACAGTTTAAAAAGTTTAAGCATAGTTAAATGTAAATAAATAAAACATGTTTAAATGTTTTTAATGCAACATTTAAAATGCATTGCAAAAATTGCTTTTCAATATCCATTTGAAAAGTAAAAAAGCAGCCAATGAATGCAGCACACAACCTAAAATCTGTTTAATATTATGTGCAAGTGTGTGTGTATATATATATATATATATATTATTTTTTTATGGTATTAAGAATATTATTTTTGTAAAGATTATAGTTAACTAAAATTATAAACATTAAATACAAGTTTTTGTTAACAAAAAAATATTTGTCATTCTTAATTTTGTCATTTTAAAATTAAATCTAGTTGCCACAGTAACATTCCCCAACATTTCTTTTTTTAACTTCATGTATGAAAATAAACCAACTGAAATAAAAACTATAGATATAGAACTATTTAAAAAAAGGGTAACTGTACTTAAAGCCTATATAATGCATTATAAAAGTATATTTAATGTATTATGCCTAGTAATTCACCTTTATATAATTCATTATATGTTCTCATGAACACTAACAACGGTTATAATATTTATTGATTCACGGTTACAACTTTAGAAAGTATAATGCATTAAAACACATGACAAACCAATTTCAGATGTAATAAGCAATCTGCAAATATTATAAATGCATTTTTACTTTGCTGACAATTATTTAACGAGAGATTTAATGCATTATAATGTACATTATGAATACCATTATAATGAATTATACATAGTCTTAGTGTGTTACTAAAAATTTAAATTACTAACATTAACTAAATAATACTAAATATTAAATACATTAAATAATACTACTAGAGTAATACTAAAACACACTTGGCACATCTTGTGGATTATATGTAAACACTACAGGGTATTACCAAATTGTAAAAAAAAAAAAAAAAATAAAATGAAGGTTTATAAGGTAAACCATTATAAAAGGTTTACATTATTATAAAAGCGGTTAAAAAAATTAAATAAAATATGACGACAAAAATCCTCGGCTTTACCTCATCGGCGAGACGGAGCAGCATGCGCAGAAAGCGTCCCAGATGCCCCTGGCGGGCGGACAGCTCTCCTCGTCCAGAGTAATCTGTCCTGTAAAGTGCCGTCGCGCTGTCTACGATCAGCAGAGCGTATCTGAAGAGAGATGGAGAATATTTCAGCGCGGCGAGCGAACGGAAGCAGCCTGGAGTCGGTTTTTGGCTGGATGTGTGTGTTACCTGGACTCCGTCATCATAGCGGAGGCCTGATACAGCAGCTGCGTCTGATGGTCTGTGTTAAAGGCCCTGGCGTACGCCACATTATCCAGCACGTCACTGCCCACCAGCCCGTACCTGACAGAACCAAACACACACTTCAATGTTTTGCACATATTAGATTTAGGAGTGTTTGGAAAGCGCCTCTGACCTCTCTGCTACAGCCAGCAGTCTCTCGGGACGAAAGGTTCCTTCAGTGTCGATGTACATGGCTTTTCCTTCCCCACCACCCTGATCTATGGGCAGCTGAGATGCAAAGTTCATGTTTTAATAAAGATAAAGTTACTGTTTACCAGATAAACATGGTTATTGAGTTAAACGGGTTAAAATACTGGACATAACTGATGTGATTTTATCACAGAAATCTTGTTAACATATACATTTTCACAGACAGGGCTTAAGCTAGTCTCAGACTAAAACGCATGTTTGAGTTGCTTTAACTGAAAGCAACTTTTACTGGCATATAACATCAGTGCTAATTGTTTTTTCTAAGGCACGTTTATAAAAGCTACTTAAAGGGAGGTCTATAATGGAGGTCTATGGTCACCACCTCAAAGAGCATGCACAGAGAAGTCCAAATTAAACATGATTTAATGACGCGTAAATGTAAGTACACATTGATGGCCTAAGACAGAGAAAACGAGCAGTATTTATATCACTTTACCTCTTGTAACCACAGCCACGTCCAAGTGATCTGAGGGCGCGGGCGCTTTGTGGCTGTGGTAACGAGTTAAAACGAAATAATTTCTGTTCGTTTTCTAACACAAACCACTTGTTTCGAGTCTTAAGCCATCAATGTGTACTTACATTTACGAGTCATTAAATCATGTTTAATTTGGACTTCTCTGTGCATGCTCTTTAAGGTGGTGACCATAGACCTCCATTATATGACTGATAGACATGAACGGTTTGACCTAAAAATATCAAAATTGAGAAAATACTGCGGAAACAAAGACACCTACATCTTGGATGCCCTTGAGGTAAGCTAAAACTTACCAAAAACGTATTTCTGTGTATGTATAACTGAGGCCTAATCCTGGCTTATAGAAGCCCTGTCTGTAAAAACAGGCCTATAATTTATTATTTTAAAAGATTAATTTTTAGCATCATTATTCAATCACATGATCATTCAAAAATCAATCTAATATGCTGATTCAAAGCTCAAAAATGTGTTTATTATCTATACATTTTTTTAAAACAGTTGTGCTGCTTCATATATTTGTGAAAACTCACACATTTTCAGAATTCATAGATTAATAGAAATCACAAAAGAACCTTTTGTAACATCAAAAATGTCTTTCCCGTCACTTTTGATCAATTTATAGCATCCTTGGTGTGAAAAAGTGTGTGTTACCTCACCTGGCATGTGACGGCCAGTGTGTGACACAGCTGCGTCTTTCCAGTGCGAAACTCACCAAACATCTCAGTGATGGATCCCGTCTCAAATCCGCCTGCACAACACAGACAGAGAAAGATTCGATCAGGTGATTCAGAATAACGTGTATTATAATCCGACTGTGTCAGTGTCTCACCCTGCAGGAGTTTATCAAGTTCTTTAGATCCTGTGGAGATCTGGATGATTTCCGCTCTGCGCTGGTGGAACTCCGTCGCTGTGGTGAATCCCATAGGAACCATCTTAGCAGCCTCTGTCTGTTGGTTACAGAGTTAGAGGTTTGTACACATCACTAAAATACAGAATGACAGATAGCAATGGCCGTGTTTCCACTGTCAGGCCAAAAGCGTTCATGCTAGTGTGTGTCAGGGCCAGTCGTGTTTCCACAGTCACTTCTGGGGCTTGAGCTGGCCTTTTCGGGGTTTCCTCAAGCCCCTTTTCCACCAAAGCATTTTGAGAGCCGGTTCGGAGCCAGTGCCTGCGCACGAACCAGTTCTTTGTGTTTCGACAGCCAAAGAACCGGTTCTCGGCCAGGAGAACTGGTTCCAAAGCGACACCAACTCTTTGCTGGACTAGAACCGTTCTTTTACCACGTCATGCTTACGTCGGGGGCTGGGACGGGTTTAGATGTGCTCTAAACATCTTTTCTGACCATAATAAAGGATCGCAAAGCCAAGAGAAACATTTGCAGAAACACGATGGAGTCCGCCTTTGTAATTGTTGTGCTTGAAGTTAACGCAAGCGTTTCTATTTTTGTAATTTTTTTATTGAAGACATTATAAGCAAAGAAGAAAAGTCACAATATAGAACAAATAAATGGAAAGAAAAAAAGTCACAATTACAGGGGTATGTATATAACTTATCAGAAAAAATTACAAATCAAACGAAAAGATTAAAAGACTTACATATTTCAATTGTTTTAAAGCTTTCTTGGAGTTAGAGATAATCTGAAAGTAATGTTGTATTTGCAAGTTTTTAGCTAAGACGTATGGCGACGTACACTGTGATGTAACGACGTCGTTCCCTGGCCGCTCTAGTCAGTGGAAAAACTAATAGGTTCTGAAGCGGTTCGCAAGTTGAACCAACTCTGAACCAGCACCAGTTCCGAACCAGTTCTTTTTTTGGTGGAAAAGGGGTATCAGAGGGCCAGGGGTTTTTGGCCCACCAAATATCTTGGTATAAATCGGGCCAAATGGAGCAAGAGGATTGGTCGTGAACAAAGGCGGAGTTTACCCGAGTCAGGAGACGGTCAACACAGTGTTATCGTACCAGGCTACGAGCTGACTTCAACATTTAAGACATTTTACAATCTTTGGTCTGGGACAGCTCAAAATCACACAATGTGTACCTGGCATAAGACAATGTATGATTGTATTCGTGGATTCATTTGGTTTCATGTTTCATCTGTCTCTTCCCTGTACCTTTGTTGATCCTGGACTAACGCACCCACATACATTATAAGATCTGTCCCAATTTACACAATCATGCCCGATTCTATGACATGTTGTAGTAAATATATGAAGAGTTCAGATGCAAAAGCCTCTAAATGCCATTTGAAATTTTCTTCTAAAATGACCATTTTTATCAAGCTTGTATATTTAAGTTCAGTAATTTCACTTAAATAACAATTAATAGGCAATCTTCATTGCCATTTAAGTGAAATTACTGAACTTAAATATACAAGCTTCATAAAAATGATCATTTTAGAAGAAAATTTCAAATGGCACTTAGAGGCTTTTGCATCTGAACTCCTCATATATAATACTGCCACAGTTTTAATTGTGTAGCAGAGGGGCTGTCATACTCAGATTTTGAATAACAAAATAACCTTATAAAATTCATACAATATATGGTTAAGCACATAGTGTATGATTATGTTGTGTATATATGCATAGTGTATAGTCACATCATTTGGGATGCAACTATAAATGACATATATTTTGGTTAACTCATATCTATTTTCTGTCCGCAAGCTCCTTCAGTTGCTTCGGCTAAAAGGATAACAGTATCATAACAAACGGGAGAGATCGCTTAAATCTCCTCAGATCACATCATTTTGCAGAAAACTTATAGAAATGCTCATTCTATAATAAATATATGTTATGTAAACATGATATTTTATTAAAAAAATGTATCTTAATGTGTAAGCCTTTGGACTTAGAAGCCTTAAATGAAGCGGTTTTGTGCATTCCTGTGACCACAAATAAATGGAAGCAGGCGCTACTGAACAAGTATGTGTTTGGTGTTAATTTTGTCTTTTTATACAGTTTTCAGTCAGCTAGCCTCATGCTGATAAAATGGTGGGGTTGTGTGACATCGTTCTATGAAGACGCGTTAAGGATGACGCTGATTTTGGCTTCGTGGCTCGAGGAATGAGACTATTTGTCCACGTCTGGCTCGCACTGTCCCGGCAGCAGAAAAAACGCTAATGGTGACCAAGGTCTCACCAGGATCTTGTCGGCTTTGGCTTCGCTGATTCCTTTGATCTGCAGCAGCTCTTTCTTGGGCGCGTACGCAACGGCCTCCACGGTGTGAAAACCACCATCTTCCAGCTTCTTAATGTCACTGCTGCTAATGCCACACTGCTGCAGAGAGATTTACAACAACATAATCAATAAACATTTCAACTTCAAACCGTGTTTGTGTTTATATCTGCCACGGCAGTCGTACCTCCAGACGGGAAACCGGTTGTGGCCCAAAACTTTCCTCTTCCTCGACCTCGCCCTCCACCCGGGATGCGTTCATCATAGCCATATTTACTGCTCCAAAACACATTACACATGCATATTATTATAAACCACTTGTGATGCTTGTAGATTAAGACTTCCTAAATTAATAACACACATTATCATTTTAAGAAATTGAGTGAAAAGCTGTACATATACATTTAAACCAAACACTTACATAATTGTAAACGAATGCATTTATTAACATCAAATCAAGGTTCAAACATAACTTTACCAATGTTTTAATTACTTTTCCAGGCGCTTGTGAGTTGTGACAACTAAATAACTTAAATAAACGACAATATTATACATTTTTGGACATGTATCGAGCTATTATTTGAAACACCTACATATATTAATAAGGTAACAACACATACAAATACGTACAGTGATGGTATTAGATGGTAATATCACAGCACATTGATATTTAACATAGTAGCATCCAAGGTAACGTAACGTTGCCTCTGATATACTATTAAAAGTAATTTACCATGGTATTACAATCGGACACAGCAACGGTATCAAATAATAAAAAGCACAACGCGCAAATTAACTAAACTAATGCAACGATAATCGATTATTTGTCCGTTAAACATAGTAAACTATATTTCCACACAGATATTCATTTAATCAGTCCGAGTCTGATGTTTAAAAAAAACCCACAGAACACACACACACACAACCTATTGCGCTCTCATCGACATTAAAGATCGACATAATCATCTTCTCACACAATAGTTCATATAAATGTATCAGAGTAATCTTGTAGATGTGATTTTTTCATTATTTAAATCTTTAACATCGTTTTTGTTTTTGTCACTCACCCGTTGTTTCTGTTGCAGCAGCTCTGTGCTCAATCTGAATTTTCCCGCGTGCCGCCGTCAAGCCACGTCACCGACGTCATGACGCCATCACGTCAACGATGTTTCATAACATCACAATATTTTTTTCTTTCTTTTTTTTTGCAAACCGTTTTGTGAGGGCATTATAGACATCGTTATTCGAAATGTCCCCCTGAAATGTTTTGTTTAACATCAATTAATACTAACAGGTTTGAATTTCGGGATACCAATATCATATATTACTTTATAATTAAACTACTGTGCCTGATATAGTTTCGTGATAAACGTCTGCGCAAATGAAATAAAAACTCTGGGTTCGTGGTGTTATTTTTTTCAGGGTTTATGTTTCTGATCGTCAGTAAAGCATGTTAGCGCAAATACAGGAAAAAACAATCAATAGCTTATGTGTGAAAGACTGAAAATATAACAGCCTATGGTCTGCATTTCTACATTTATAGCAGATACTTTTATCCAAAGCCATTAACAAGAGTAACAAAGCAATTCATCAGGGAGCCAACAATATGCCAGGTCTGATTAAAAATCATAAAAATCACAAATGTCCTACTACTATTTTAGTACAGTAACTTGCACCAGAAAATAAACATGCAAAAGATAATATACAGTGTAAATAAGTACATCACTAGCATTGCATTATAAAGAAAACCTGCAACTTTTCTCTCTAAGGAAATGTTTAAGTGCAGTCATGAAAAAGAATCATACTACAGGAGATGATTATTATATTATAATTCAGCAGGGTTGTGCCCCATTCAGAACTAAATTGGGAACGAACGTCTATAAAGAATTGAAGTGGCAAACAGGATGCAATAAAGCGAATATCTCTTCCTGTGTGCCGTCAGCAATTCAATTCAAACGCTTAAAAAATTCATAAATCAGAAATAGCTACATATGTTGCAGAAGAAATTTGCATTGAATTCACTATAATACTGCAAATGAATGTAAGGTATCTATAGACAGATATGACATCTCAAATGCACAGATACAGAGGAGACATTCAGACGGCCTTTTTGTTGGGTGTTGGTATTTCGTTATCGTACGGGTTTTCAGTCTGGGTCTCTTCAGTCATATCGCTTGTCATATCTTCTGAAGGCACAGAGTCTCCAAAGAGGCTGCTCGTTTTCATGTAATATATGAACAAGAAGAATCCTATAAAAACACAAGCATTTTATACAAGATGAGACATTCTCTTTATACATATTAGACATTCTCTGCTGTGCATCAAGCGCAGAGGAAGAGCAGAAATTCAGATATGGTAATAGACGGTTGGTTTCCGACATGCCCTGTTAGTGGTAGACCAATCATAACAGACTACTGGGCCATCTGACCAATCAGAGAAGTGTATTCTCGCGGAGAGGAGGGGCTTAGAGAGACCGAATCCTTTAACAAACCGTTTTCAAACTCTGAGAAATATTTGCAATATATGGATTTAGATTTTCAGCAGAAAAGCCCTCACCTTGGAAGGAGTTTAGTATGGTGAATATGTAGTACGAGGGCAGAGCCAGACTTCCGAAGCTGAAGAAAGTGAAGCTCCAGGTGAGTCCCAGCAGACAGCAGAGGCCAAGGATGGTGGTGATGTCAAAGGAGGCGGTTCCTGAGCGCTTCACCGCTGCAGCTTTGTTAAACTTCCTCACCTTCAGCATGGAGAGCCATCGCAGCACCACGATGCTGGTGCAACAGGTGAAGATGAAGACGAAGCAGTAAAAGCCGATGTTCACGGCGTAGTGGACAGTGCTGTCTAAAATCCAGCACCTGCGGGGAAAATAGTGCAGATGGTTAAAGTTGACAAATATGTTTATTATTGCTCATAAGTTAATCATGAAAAATGTAATTTGATTCCTGTCCTGACCATTATTTTGCACACCCACAAAGTTTATTTGATTGACTAAATTTAATCCAAATCTAAATCTTAATTTATAACTTGATAGAAAGTAAATATTTGATCACTTTTTAAAGTACACCAGTTTAACTGCTCATTAACACAAATATCTAATCAGCCAATCCCATGGCAGGAACTCGATGCATTTAGGCATGTAGACATGATCAAAACGATCTGCTGAAGTTCAAGCTGAGCATCAGAATGAGGAAGAAAGGTGATTTAAGTGAGTTTAAACGTGGCATGGGCTGGTTTGACTATTTCAGAAACTGCTGATCTACTGGGATTTTCACACACAACCATCTCTAAAGTTAACAGAAAATGATCCGAAAAAGAGGAAATATCCAGTGAGCGGCAGTTCTGAGGGAGAAAATGTCTTGTTGAGGTCAGAGGTTAGTGGAGAATGACCAGACTGGTTGATAGAAAGTAGGGCTGTCAAACGATTAATCGCGATTAATCGCATCTAAAATAAAAGTTTGTGTTTACATAATATATGTGGGTGCACTGTGTATAATTATTTTGTATATATAAAAACACACACATGCTTGTATATATTTTAAGAAATATTTTCATGTATATACAGATTTATATATAATTTATATTTATATATATATAAATATTTTATATATAAATAATATATTTTTTCTTAAAAATTCATGCATGTGTGTGTATTTATATATATACAAAATAATTATACACAGTGCACCCACATATATTATGTAAACACAAACTTTTATTTTAGATGCGATTAATCGCGATTAATCGTTTGACAGCAATAATAGAAAGGCAACAGTAACTCAAATAACCACTCGTTACAACCAAGGTGTGGAAGAGCATCTCTGAACACACAACACGTCAAACCTTGACACAGAAGAAACACACTGGTGAGCATTTTTTTTAACAGATTAATTTCTTTTGAGCATTTCTTTTTTTAACAGATGTTAAAGGTTCTTCAGGGAATCATCAATGCCAATCAAGTACATGAGAGTGTAGGTTTTCATATATATCATTATGCAGTGTGGCTGCCATTATATTTTAAGAATAGTGTTTAATCATATTTTTGGGTCTACTCACATGGTTACATTGCTTGTGTCCGTCTGTATGGTCTGTTCACCATATTTGCCAAAGATGAAAATGATACTGACAATAAAAGCAGGAGGAACTGGAACAAATAGTTGACAATGCAATTGTGGTATGAGAATCAATCGTCTGAATAGAGGATTAGATCAGACTTCAGATCTAGATCAGATTAAGTATTTTATCTGTACATATGACATGAATTCTATGTGGATTTTATATTTTATATAAGTTTATGGGAATGTTGCAGGTCAAAATTGTGCATCTGATCATAGGCCACAGACAGGTGAAACCTGAAAATTTACAGTACTGTGCAAAAGCCGATTTATTTCAGTACTTAAGTAATATATCATATAGACTCATTGCATGGAAAGTGAGATATTTATATATGAAAAGATATATAGATATAAAACCCTTTCAGTAAATTCTAATTTTGAATTTGAGGTTTTCTTAAGCTGTAAGCCATAATTATCAAAATCATAACAAATAAAGGCTTGAAATATTTCACTTTGCATTTGTTTTACTTTTTAAGTTGAATTACTGAAATAAATGAACTTTAAAGTGAACTTGTAAAGGTTTTTGAACTCACCCCACCCCGCCACAGAGAGCTTGAGGATGTAATGTTTGATGACGATTGAGTGTCTGGCCATTTGCAGGCACAGGTGTAAAGCCTCCACCGCAAACCAGGAGAAACTGGCTAACAGGCTAAAGTGCATGAAGCCAGCTATGACCCTGCAGGCGCCGGGGCTTTTCGCACGTGCAATGTATTCATTAGACAGGAAGGCCAGGTTGAGCAGAAACAGCGCCAAAAAGAGATTCATCAGCACATGGGCTGAATTAGTGGCCTTCGCTTTCCTGAAATTTAAAATACACAAACGAAATTAGTATTTTGGATCTGTGCTTTGTGAACTAAAAATGTTTCAGGGTGATTTGGATTAACTTTGATAATACATTTACAATTTACGTCTTTGATCCTGGTTTTAATTTAACAGTTGACATACTTCTGCTTTAACCCTTAATTTGTGAAACCCACCATATTCTGAGTTTAGTACAAGTCAAGCTCAAATCACAGCACTTGTGGCTTATTGTTGATCAAAATGGATTCATTCATTTCCCACTCTTTTTTTTTAAAGTTACAAATCTGTGTTACAGTGAGTTACTTTCAATGGAAGTGAATCGGGCTAATCTGTAAATGTTAAAATGCTCAATGTTAACATGATGTTAGTGTAAACACAATTGCTTATTAATATTTTCTTTGTAAAGTTATATGCAAGTTTATGGCTTCATTGCCATGATGATGCGACACCTAAAACATTCACTTTCACCCCATTCACTTGAATGAATCCAAGGTCAAAAAACACTTTAATTTCCTTGTAATGTACATTTCAGCATCACGTTTTCTCACAGAGCTTGAATTGGTTTGATAAAGGATTCAGTCTCTCTAAACTCAGAGCCTGCTCTGCTATATTACACTTTACATGAAAGGTAATACCTACAAATCATAATAGGTGCACTTTCAACAAATTTAGAGGATTTTTTTGTACGATTATTTTGTTATCAAAATTACGCCACAAATGCTGTCGATTAATGAGATCTCACATGTGTGAACAGTGTTACAGATACTCATGTCTCACCTTAAGAGGAAGTGAATAAAAAATCCGACTCCCAGGAAAAACATGGAGAGGCCGCAGCCGATGTACGTGATGTAGGTGAGAGCGACAAGGTCAGCTTCGGGAATGGGTACTGGATGAACCTGTGTATTAAAACATCGTTCAGTTACAGTACACAGGTCTGTCTGAACGTTTGCAATATTGAGATATCAGTAACCACAGAATGTAGTGAAATACGCAAACATAAATCTATCTAAATGGGGCGGTAGAGAACTTATAATGTGAGTCAAATTTCACAGAAAACAGAGAACATACCATAAGCACAGCGAAGAAAGTCAAGTGGTTGCAGTTACATGTTATATCCTTTCCATTAGGAACAGTAGTACACCCTTCAGTTGTCCAGTTTGGCTTATTTCCTGGTGAAAAGGAGGGACTGGTTAGTTTTGAGTTGATTTAGAGAGAGTTAATGAATGTTAATTGACATCATGGCTGATTTATTATTAGAAATCAACATTCACACATCACAGCATGGCTTGAAACATTCAGACTCTTAACTAGTTCTCTATATTTTTTAAAGAATTTATTTAGTAGGATTTACAATTTTCAATTGTATAGTAAAATTCCATCAAATTGAATTAAATAATGCTTATATATTATTCATATTATAAATTAAGAATTTTAAAAAGAGTAAAAATGTTTAATAAAACATTTTGTGGAAATCTTAATGGACCATAGTTTATGTGATTCATATTCATACATTTGAATATATATATTTTTTAATTTATGAATACGAATCTACTAATATAGTTTTACAAAATTTACTAATTTAAAATTCTTAATACACACACACACATATATATATATACACACATTTCGATACAGTATATCAATAAGAATATATTCTTGATATACTGTATGGATAATTTATCACATCCATATTCCGTTTAATTAAAATTATTTAAATATATAAAAACACAAAGCATTACAGACCGCTTCCATCCCATGAGTTACAGGCAGGAGTTCCAATCATGTTCTGCAGAGAAATAAATAAGAAATTTAGAAAGTAAGATATAGACTAATTTAGAATATTAGAAATTTTTTATTTTTTTTCCATGCATCATACATTACCTCTTTATTGCTAAAGGCCAAACTGATGTTTTCAGTCAGATTTGATATTCGTGTCCCCATTTCGATTGCAAAAACTTGATTCCCCAAAACCGTACTGTTGTTTTCATCCTTTAATAAAAATGAAATGGGATTGTTTTTGTTTTGTTTCTATATAAAAACATTAGGCTTCTATATAAAAACATTAATTTCTATTAATGAATAGATTTAATAAGATAAATGTCAGAAGTGAAACAGACATTTAAATGTTCAGGATACTCTTTTATTAATCCAACACACATTTTATGAACACATTATTATTGATCTGTTTGCAAGAAATATAATTTGATCAAAATCACTCATTTAAAAGAATGCCTTGTGTTATGATGCATGAGTTAAAATCATTTAAGCGCAGTGTAAAACTTGACAAAGCCTAGTCTCCAGGTGTAGCATGATAGAATCGCTGAAAGTGCACTATAAACCTTTATCTTTTGTAATATAAACATAACTATCTATTTAAGCATAAACTCTCTCAGCCTTTTGTAGTTAAGCATCAATGCTTGTGTATTACCTGTGAGAACGGCATGAAACAGGCCTAAGCTTACATTTTCCTGTATACAGGAATTGAAAAATCTAATTTTTTATACCTTTGACATGTTGGGAAATCTGAACACACCCAGAAAAGCATATCCTGCACTTTTGTTGAATGCTTGTTTTGTGGCTTCCTCTGGAATAGTGAGAGCGTTGGGATAATCTTTCAATACGGAAAAATCATCTATAACCTGTAAACACAAGGTGATTTCAGGTACACTTTATGTTCCAAAGAGAGAAACATTGTTTATGCAGAGCTAAAAAAGATGTGTATGTTTGTCATCTTTACACTTACTCTGATGCCTGTTTCTGCAGAGTAGATGAAAGCGGACTTCTTGATATCAGACACATTTTGAATTTTCTTTAAAACCCCTTTAACTTCACCCAAGGAAATAGATGCTGTGGTCATGTTCTCCATGAGAGCCAGCAGATTGGGGAGATAGTTCATGGCCTCACTGAACAAAAGACAAAATGATGTGTTTTTGACATGACAATATCTCTGATGTAAGAGAAAACGGCACAATTGATACAATGGTGCAACCATTGAAAATGGTACAATTGACAAACATTGAGACGCTACAGAGGGTTAGATGGGATAAATCCCCTGTGACAACTAGCCCCGGTCTCCCTGGATAGAAATGGTTATCATGGAATGAAAAACAAAAAAAAGATTTTTAAAAAATCTCATGTATATCCCTTAATTGCAATACAGCAAGTTATTATGGAAACCTTCTGAATAATGGTATTTAAAAGATAAACTGATAATAAACATTATGTCTAAAAAATACAGAGTAGACTTAAATCCTGTTTGTTTAATAAAAGTACTTACACAGCTTTTGCAGCATCTGTCTCTCCTTTATGAGTATTATTGAATATATTTGAGATTGCTACATCTTTGATTTCTTCCACCTTTTGAAAAGGACTTCCGCATTTAATACAATTTGCACTTCCACTACTGATCTTAATGGTGTTCATTTTACTTTCATCGCCTGCATTATCATCTGTGTAAAAACATAAAAATGAAATCAAAACAAATGGGGATGGAACGATTAAAAGCAATGCATTGTGGTTAAACGGCACTTTTAGTGTGTTCAAAAACGTATTTGAGCAGAAACGTCTGATTTATGGAATTTAGGCATATTGAAATACTCTCTTACCCCTACAGCTGGAATCATATTTTGCAATCTCACACGTGTTTGTGGGATTCAGGCAGGTCATTCTACAATCTTACATACACAACACACAGAATTATACAGAAGCTGATGACAAATACAGATCATATTTAGACTGTTTGGATAATACTTACTTGTATCTGTAAAGTTTTTTGGAAGGGTCCAATTTAAACCTTTAATAAAGAGAACAAAAATAAGCTCTTAACAGAAACCTGAACTGCAAAAGACCAACAACACGCCTAAAATGAACGAGTGTCAAGAAAACTTCCAAGCAACACAACAAAGATCACAAACTTCAAAACTGAACGGTTTGTAATGATCCAAGAGATAATCAGTATGTGGCGTTTGGCCTCATTTACGTGTTGTTGGGGAGGTTACTTTTAAAAGTAATGCTTTACAATAATGAGTTAACTCTTTAAAAAAACGAATAAATACCAAGTGTTAGCAGTAATGAGATTTTGAGAGTAATTGTGAACGGATAAACCCAAATTTTGACTACCTTTTGATACTGTAGGTTTTTTATTTTGCAAGTTGTTCTGTGTGAAAATATTTTGTCAAGTGATTTAACTTCAACTAATTCTGTAATCAGTGAATAGATTATCATGTAAAATATGTCTTCCACCTATACACACAACATTTTTAAGGCTTTTTTGAAGATTTCGACATTTCAATTAACAATAAAATTCCATCACATTGAATTGAATAATCCTTACGTATTTGAATTGAACAATTGATTAAGGATAGTTCACTTTCATTTAATATAAATCTTTTAAACCATTTTTATTAAAAATGTCAATATAAGCAATATGAAAGATTAATCATTCACCTTCTGGAATCCAGTTTGTCCAAGTGCCATTTCTGCAGGCCCCTTCTATTATACATTGATCTAATGTAATCGATCTGCTTATGTTGAGTATGTATGTTGAGTGTTTAGAGTCTTTAAATAAAGACAAACCAAAATCTGCAAAACAAAAGGTTACAAACCAAGGTTACTCTGGGCTCAAACTTTATTATTATTTTTTTCCTAAAGAACATTTAGGATTTCATTATGGATAGTGGCGCTAAACAAGACAGGAAAGGCTACTTTCAGACCCACCGCTGCTGCTTGTAGATGGTGAGGTTGTATTTTCTTGAAATGAAAAAACAGTCATTTTGTGTTTCATCCCAGCTGAAAAAAATAAAAGCAACAACATGGCCTTAAAAAATAATCTATTGCATGATCTTGATCTTATTTTAAAAGGTCCATGATTTGTTTACTTTTTAACCTCGTATATTTTAATACAAATATCATAACTCAGTCTTTAGCGAAACGTCAGACTTCTCTAAAGTTATAGTTATATTAGGGCTGGGCAACGATTAATCGCATTAATCGCTTCCAAAATTAAAGTTTGTGTTTATGTAATATATGTAGTGTGTATAATTATTTTGTATATATAAATACACACATGCATGTATATATTTAAGAAATATTTGCATGTATACACTTTATATATACTTTATATATATTTATACATAAGAAAAATGTGTTCTTAATATATCAAATATTCATATTTATACATAATATTAATTATGTATAAAATATATATAAAGTGTATACATGCAAATATTTCTTAAATATATACATGCATGTGTGTGTATTTATAAAAATAATTATATACACTACGCACACATTTATCATCTAAACACAAACTTTTATTTTAAATGTGATTAATCGCAATTAATCGTTGCCCAGCCCTAATATATATATATATATATATATATATATATATTGTAGGTACTTCTGTTGAATAATTATGAATGAATGTATGAAGCCTTTGACTTCCCATCCTCCAACACTCTTAAAAGTAAATATTCAAGCGCTTGGATATTAGTTTTAATGAATGAATTTCGTTTTATATAGAACTCTATTTTTAGGGTGAACATGTTGTATTTTTCAATAATCCACTACACTCACAATGTACATCACAATACGGAAGAAAAGGTTTGTTAATTTCATTGCAACTTTAATATTATTCCTGTCCAGTATCGACCGCTGCAACTTTATCATGTTGAATTAATGACATTGAGATTTAAAAAATGGCTCTAGACATATTATACACCGTTAACGACACAGAATATTATGATTTTCTTTTTCTTTGTTTTTGAGATTGACATTATTTAAAAAAGGAATGTTTAAGCATGCAAGTCTCTCCTCACCTGAGAATCGAGAATCATTACAGGTCGAGGAATAACCTATTTAAAGAACAGATGATAAACAATAGCAACCAAAAGTAACATTTACATTTAGTACTTTACATTCCCATTTGAATCACCTTTTTCCATGAAACCCATTAAACCATCTGTACCGAGTATGACGATGCCATCCAAATTCTTTCCATTGCCTGAATTGGACCATTTTATGGCATTAACTCCAGCACAAACAGGTTTGTTAGGGTTTTTTCCACAGGCTGTTTCCACAGCCTTAGTCTGCTTTGCAGATATGCAGAAGAGGCCAGGAGATATAAGCAGGAGACCCCAGATGTTCCACTTCATGCCTGACAGGATCTCCAGGATCCTCAAAAACATCTGATGAGCTGGAAAAAGAAAAGTGTAAAACATCTAATCTTGTTGTTTTTCTTATTGTTGCTTATAAACAAGAACAAATAGAACAAGAGTTATCTAAAATCCCATTCTTTGTCTACTCCCTGAAAGGATTATTGTAATTTATTTATTTATTTTAACGTTTTTGCACTGCTGATGTCCAATAAGATTAAAGACCAGAATTTTTTTTACCCAGAAAAAGAACTGTCCTAAACATAATCCAACATCACATTCTCCAATACAGTGTTATGTAATATTAAGTGAAATGCCATACACCAAGGATAAATCAACACATTAACTCCCAATTCCACCGCAGTGAGGGACATGTACATTTAGCAAATACTTTTATTTTACTTATAGCAAAAACGTCAAAAGTAAACCAGCGCAGAACAAAATGTAAAATCCATTACTGAATTGCATTGTGTTATTTTACTTTATTTCCTGTTGTAATAACTGAAACAAACGTCTTACCTGGTGAAGAGACGTTGAGTCTTTCCAAATACTTGTGTCATTTCATCAGATACAGCATATATACATTTTGCATGTAGCATTTCCTCCCTCCCGGTGTGGTTTTCTGTATTTGTTAACCACATCTCTTCATGCAAACTAGCTAACGGAGAACATCGGGACGAGACACGGCCACTCCTGAACAGCCAGCTTTATTGTTAGATGATAAGAGTTTCGGCAGGCTTTTCAGGGTTAATGTTGGATTCCAGGGTTAACTGGACAAAGACGCACAAGAGAATAGATATTACTATATGAACATAAGCATCAACAAATATTACAAATAAGTTGATAAAACATCTGACAGTGAAATATAAATACAAAAATGTTCAATAGACACAAGTCAATGTAGTAGTTGCATATGAATGATTATGTAAAATAACAGTGGTTTGACATCTTGCCATATTTTTTGACAATTTTGTGTTTAGTTTTTACATTATTGTTTGTACTTGATGCTTTTTTTTATAAATTGATGCGTCATTTTGACTCAAAATGTAAATCTCACTGACATCCCATCAGGCCCTTTATTGTAACTCAAAAAAGATCAGTACAACTGATTTCCACAAATAACAGAGATAAAATCGCAGTCTTCAAAACACAAACATTTCCCTGATCCCTAACAATGAATTGGTTAATAGAAACCCTTGTTTATTTCAAGCTCATAGTAAATGGAACTTCATCTGATTAACAAATGAGGTGTTCTGCCACAGCCGAACAAATGCAACCTTGTCCGTTTACGGGACATTTCAAAAGGCTTTCTGTAGAACTGAAACACACACAAAAATATTTTCTTAGTATTTGTGTCTTGCTTCTAGAAATCTCAAAATTCTTAAATCAAGATGCATTTATGAGTAAAATGCCATAAGATATTATGTCAAAAAACCTTTTTATTTATTTAGCAAATGCATCTTGATTTAAGAATTTGGAGATATTTGGACAGGAAACAAGCATCATGATCATTTGACTAAGGACATGCATTACATTTATTCATTTAGCTGACGTCTTTATCCAAAGCGACTTTCAATTGCTATATATGTCAGAGATCACACGCCTCTGGAGCAACTAGGGGTTAAGTGTCTTGCTCAGGGACACCAAAGGCATGTGTCTTATCCACTGCGCCATCAATAAAACCTTTAAACTTTTTTTTTTTTTCAAACAAATATTCTTTGAGATGTGATTTTTGAGAGAAAGCGATATTGTTTAATCATGTTTATGAACTGCTGCCACTAGTAATTCTGCGTATTGTCAATCACCTGATCTGGATCATTTAAAATGCCTTATTTTGTTAAGATTCAGTCACATTTTCTGTTGGTAAATGGCATAACAATTCAAAGCTTGGGAATTTTGTTTCAACATTGTTATGCAGTCTGATCTGACTTTAACTCTGTGTAAAGCCTAACATGAAATAGTTTTAATCTTTTTTTATTTTTATTTTATTGAAACTTTAGAAAAAACCTTAAAAATATATAGTGTCACATTTGATAGAGGCTTTTATAGCTCATATAGTAAAATAGTGAGAATATGTAGCTCAACAAATTTTATTCAGAGGCCCTAATAAAATCAAAATAGGCAATTTGATGTGGTCGCTGATATTAATATTGCCAGAAAGTAAGATGAAATTCTGACAGCTTGTAATTTAAATAAGATCTCTACAACTGTCTACAGACATAAATCAATTAAAGACTTACATAAAATGCATGCATAGATATCAGTTCTCACTCTATCTTCAAATAATATGTCTTAAGATGGTATTTAAATGTTTAGCTTTATTATCAAAGCTCTGTATTTTTTTTTTGTGTGTGTGTGGAGGGCAAATATAATACAATGCATTTTAATGATGATTGACAGATAAACAAATAACTGTTCCTTATTTGATTTGGTTCTCATTTGGTTCCTATGTAACGGTGGCTATTTCAGAGGAACGAGAGTGGGATCCAGATGCAGCAATTCAAACAAAGATATTTAAAGTAAATCCATGCAAAACTGATAAATGCAGTCACAGGCAAGGAAGGCTAACAAACCTCACAACAAGCACACACATAACATCCCTAGAAGGACAACACCAGGGGCCTATATATAGCATGATGAAGCCGGTTTAGGTGGCTTGCCAGGTATGTTTCAGTTAAGCATGCGCCAACCCTGGGCTTTAGGCACCATGAAAGTGGTTTGGCTTTTAGCAGTGTTCATCGCCATAGTAATTTACGCCCCGGCCAAACTAGTCCGGGGCAGGTTATGTAGGTAAAAGGATGCAAAATTGGCCAATCAGCTGAGAGCAGAGTGACGCATGTCTGATGCCATAAAGTCACTCCACCGGTTTGTACTCCAAATTAAAGGTCACTATAGCAAATGATCGTCTAGCTTATAGTAATGCTTACTTACGTAATTATTATAGCCTTAATTGATCACACGTGTACAATTTTAGTTCATCAATTATTATTACGCATGTTTTAAAGGTAATACAAGTATGCTTTAGAATCAATAAATGTAGCTATAAATTGACTACATGTGAGCTTAAATGTTCAATACCTTTATCAGCTGTCTAAACTTCACTTTTACTTGCGCTGATATTTCAGTTATTACGTGAAATATTTTTAAGCTTTAAAGTTTCATTTTGAAGCATTTCTTTATGAGCTAACAAATCATCATTACATTTATATGTTACTATATGTTGGAATGTACTTTCAGAAACATGCTCAATTTGACATTTCAATTCTCCTCAGAAAGAGAATGTAATGCTGATATTTCGATGCAGTGTCAGGGTTTCACCAGTAGAGCACGCCCTAACATTTATTTTTTTTGGACACTGAAGGGAAGTGACTATCCTGAAAGAGGAAATAAAGTTTAAACCGAGATCCGACCTCAATAAATAAGATTTAAAGTTTTAGACGTTAAAAGTATTAGACGTGTCTTTTCTATTTTTAGAGCCCAGTTGTATTTGTGGTACTAAGGTGGTTTGACATCAGATTTTTCAATGAACTCGCACAGGTTTATAGGATGGACGTGCTCAACACAGGAGATCCCATGGGACCCTATTGGATGCCAGGCTGCAGTTTGCTGACATCACCTGTCACCATCTTCCCTTTGGGCTCCGGCTAAGGGTGGAAATGTTTCCATTGATCCGGAGCTGCTGTTATTGACATCATCTCTGGGATTTCCAAAGTAGTGTTTTCTATAAACACACATGGCTACCTATATATACAGAAGCTTTTCTTTTTTTTCTTTTTTTCTAAAAAATATATATATAATTTGGCAATTTTCACTACTATATAACTGCAAAGTTAAGAGTAGCTGTAGTTGTGGTACTCTCAGCCGTTTTTAACACCATTTACCATCTTAAAATCTTTGATGTTTGTACAACTTTGTCAAGGAACATGAACCTAAAATTACCAGTGCCACAGTATTTTTAATTGTAAAATTACAAATAAAAGGTATCTGTAAAGTAATAAAGGACATTATGGTAATGTCAAAACTGGTCAGATATGGAGTGACATCCATATGCAAGTCTAGTAAAGAGTTCAACAATATTATTGATCTTCCTGCATTGACATCATTATGAGAACTGAATTGAGCTGGACGATGACATCACTGTTGCTGCTGTACAGCTAAATGAACTAAACTAATAACTTTTTTACAACAGAAATAAATCAACACTAAATTTACTTTAGTAAACCAATGTAACAAGGGGACATTTAATATTCAACAATATTATTGATCTGTGTTGTATTACACTGGGAATAATCACCGGCGTGCCTCAAGGTTCAGTCCTTGGTCATCTTCTTTTCTGCATCTACACAACCTCACTGGGCACAATCATAAAGGCACATGGCTTATCCAACCACTGCAATGCAGATGATACACAGCTCAATCTTTCATTTAAACCTGATGACCACAGTCTCAGCAAGTATATCTGCCTGCCTTTCAGACAAATCTGCTTGGCCTTGGATAACTCAACCTTGCGAAGAGAGAGCACCTTGTAATCCCGGCACACTCATCAGTTGACCACAACATCACTGTATGTCCTAACCATCCAGGACAGCAACGAAGTGCTTGACGACCAGCTGAGCTTTTCCACCCATATCTCAAGCAGATTTGCGCTCAATAAAATCAGGAAAATCTGACCCTTCCTCTCAGAATATGCTCGTCCAAAAGCTTGTAATTTCTAGACTGGACTACTGCAATGCTCTATAGCGGACCTTACAACCAGCACGACTAAGCCTCTCAGCTCATCTATTCTTCAATCAGACTAAGAGAAATCATGTTACACCCCTCATGATCTCAGTTCTAACACTGGCTTTCAGGACAAACCACAGGAACTGCTCCCCCATACTTCAACCCACTACTATAAGTACGCTCCCGCCCACCAGCTCAGGTCACTGAATGAGAGACGTCTTGTTTTTCACAACGAGGCACTCTCCAAAACCTTCACTCTCTCTGTTCCTCTCTCTGGTGGAATGAGCTGGCAACCTCCATCCGAACTGCTGAGATCATCACATCTTTTAAGAAGCAGCTGAAGACGCACCTCTTCCACAAGCACTCAATGATCTCACACACTTAAACCAATGCAATGCACAGAAAAACTATGCATTTCTTCTCTTCTCCAGCTGGTTTCCAAATGTGGTTGTCAATAAACCTGGCACTGTGTACTACGATTCTTGGCTCTTTGATGAACGCTTTGCTCTTTGTAAGTCGCTTTGGATAAAATGCATAAATGTAAATGATAATTTCTCATCTGAAATGATTATAAGCATCATACGCGGGTATTATTACTGTAGGATACTACACTGATTTTCGTTTCTTTAATTTTTATACTATTATAATTTATAACATTTATTAATATTTTGAATTCGCTTGTATTTTTGTTTTATTGAATTTATGTGCTTTTATTTTTTATTTATATTTATTTTCTATATAGCTTTTATATTTGTTTATACATTTATTTAATTTAATTTTTACTTCAGTTTCAGTTTAGTACATCAGCTGATTTATTTCAGTTAGTTGGTTAGCTTTTCTTTAAAAAAAAAATCCATATAATATATTT